GACAATGATAGATTTTTAATTACTGGTGACAGAAGCCACATTAAGAAAAGAAAGGTTTAACTCAAGCTTGGAGTTTTATATAAATTTAACTTTTGTATCTACCCAGGTTCAAATTCAAGTTTTCACCCTTAGTATAACTTGAGGGAAGTTGCTTAACTTGTATGTCTTCATTTTCCTCATGTATAAAATACTAATTCTTAATTTTTTTAATTAATATATTGCTGAGCATGGTGGCACATGCCTTTAGTCCCAGCACTTGGGAGGCAGAGGCAGGTGGATCTCTGAGTTCAAGGCCAGCTGGGGCTACAGGGAAAATTATATATATATATATATATATATATATATTCCCTATTAATATAGTTTATATGTTAAATATATTTAAATTGATTAGAAAATTCCTAGTGCCTAGTAAATAATATTAGTTGTTAAATATATGGCTTAAGCTCATGTTTGGTGAATATGTCTTGACTTAATATGTTCCAGCAGAAATGTCAGTCATTGCTAGCCGTAACAGCAGATAGTTAGATATCTAACATTATTGTTTGCACATAGATAGCCTAAGGAAAATTCTATCTGAGGTTAAGTTTAAAGTGAATAAAAGAACTAGGCTTATAATTGTACTACAGTAATACCTTGCTTTTACTGCCATTGGAGTTAGCATAAGATATTTAGGAAAAGTCTTAGGGCTAGATCTCAGGCAAATTCTTTGAAAAACATTTCAATAACATCTCTGTGAGTGTGTCAGTGGAATAGATATTTCCCATAAAATAGAATATATTCTGTAGGCAACCCAATGCCTTTGTATTTCTGTTTTGAATAAAATAGACCTCAAAAATTGTTCTAGTTTACCATTAACTTTCATGGTCAGGACTTAGTCATTATTCTTTACTTCTTCCATACCTTTAGTTTGATTCTTGAAAAAGTAGACCAATTAAACCATTCTGATGTATGAATGATAGGTAGATCTTGTTAGCAATCTCAGAGATTAATTCAGATGAGCTAATTACTTTGTAAAGTTGCAGACAGCAGAATGGAAACTATTTCAATGATTAGGAGTTTCCTTGTTTATTTCACTAAAGAATAAGAAATGCCTAGTAGTTTTCTAGCTACAACAAACCCACTTCTGACCAGGGTCCTGCTTTTGATGAGTCTCTGCAGGCCAGGTGGCTGACTTGAAAGTGGATGAAAGTATCTAGACTGTTAGCAGAGTCAGGCATGCTTCCAGTAGAAACAGCTATAAAATTAACTTGTGGCAGTGGGAGAATGTAGATTTCTAATACACATCTTTCTGTGACCAGCCCCTTCGTAGGAGGAATAGTTTTCTGCTTTTTTTTTTT